ATCTGCTCCGGGGAGTCGACGAGAGCCGGAGCCGGAGCCGGAGCCGGGATTACCCCGCGCAGCTTGGAGGAGAAGTTCCTGGAGGAGAACATCCTGCTCCTGCGGAGGCAGCTGGTGAGCCGAGCCGAGCCGAGCCAAGGCGGTCGGCGCGCTGCAGGGGCGCAGCCAGACCAGACGGGGGAGGGGGAGGCTGCGGAGGCTCCTGCTGGACTTCGTCAGCTGCGAAGGAAAGGGTCGGGGACCCGGCTTTTGGGCTTTATTTTAACCCAGTTCCATACCTCTTGGAACTTGTGAGAAGCGTGTCTCTGAGCGTGTGCAAAGCGCCTGTGTAGGGTGCGTGTGCCTCCGCGCAGGTGGGAATTAGTTGCAGAATTCGAATTAGCCCTATGAAATTCCGCCACCTCTTCTTCAGGGTGTCTCCCATTTGTCTTAGGGCCTGGCCTGGCCGTTTACGGTGCAGATGAGAAACATGGCAGGGTCAGAGGGTTTGAAAAATGAGGGTCACTCAAGCTGGGTGGGTGGAGGCTGAGATTTTAAATATCCGCTAGGACCCTCCCAAGGTAAGGATACCCCACTTCAAGTGGATCTTCCTCCCCCCTCCCGTCTCCCGCCCTTCATAGCGAGCGGTTTTAGTTTGGGGCGTCGCGAGACAGGAGGACCGCAGGAAACTGCACCCTTCTCTCCTCGGCTGACGTGGGGCATCGTCGTACAACGGAGGCCGTAGAGGCACCAGCTTCCTTATTCCCCCCTCCCTGAAGAAGAAGCTCAGCTGAGTTGAGGACGGCTCCGGGTGTCAGATGGGAGGAACTGCGAGGCAGAATCCAACGCATTTGCGCAATAGATGGGTTTGCTTCTGGGGAGGCGCTGAAGGTACCTGGAAGGTCCCCTTAGATTCGAGGCCAGTGGCCGGCAGGCTGTCGGGAGGGAGGGGTGCAAATGGAGCATTAAGTGCGCAGAGAGGAACCCTGTGAAGCCTGGACCTTTGGAAATATGAGGAGCCCCTTCCTGCGTGTTTCTGTGGGAGCCAGGATTGCCTGGGACTTTTAGGCAGTCTGTTGAAGGATTGTTTCTCAGTATCCCAAAACATCACAGTTCCAGGACTGGTGTATACAGTATTAAGGAGAACCAAATCCTGTGTGGAGGCAGTCTTCCATGCCTCTAATGATGGTCTCTCCTGAGCAGGACAGTTG